CTGAGGCTGGTTGCGAACTCCTGAGCTCAGGCAATCCGCCCGCCTCCTCCTACCCCAACCTGGACAGTACCTCTTAACCAACAGTTTTCTCAAGATAATTTCTTAACCTCTGCCTGCCCGTTTTCTCCTTTCTAGAGTGGAGATAACTATCCGTCACAGAGGATGGTTACATTGACTAAAGAATACGGGTAGCGGGTAGCTCAGGCTGCAGCCCAGTTGTGTGCGTGTGGCGGCGGGGGCAGGGGATGCAGACAGTACATAGTACAGTAGCCAAAAAAAGGAAAATATAACTATGATTAAAAATGATAAAAAGGGATACGGAATGTAGATGCTGTCCTAGAGGATTGCAGTAGTCTACAGGCAGCCATGGTTCAGTCTACCTGCTGTGGTTGGAAAATAATGACTCATTGAATGCGGAACTTTACTCTCCTTTCTCCTTCTGGAGCCCACTACAGTGGCCAGCGAGGTGTGAATCAAAGAAAGTCAAGAATGAACTAATGCTGCCCCCATCTTCCCAATATATGGTCATATTCAGCATGGATATCTTTTCTTCTTTTTTTCTTTTTTTAGACAGAGTCTTTCACTGTTACCAGGCCAAAAAAAAAAAAAAAAAAAAAAAATACCTGGGCGTGGTGGTAGACGCCTGTAATCCCAGATAACTGGGAGGCTGAGACGCGAGAATCGCTTGAATCCGGGAAGCGGAGTTTGCAGTGAGCCGAAATTGCGCCGTTGCACTCCAGCCTGGGCGACGAGAACGAAACTCCGTCTCAAAAATAAATAAATAAAGACACTCATGAACATGTGTGTGTGTGCACACGGCTAATTTTCAGATAGCCAGTCCTCTGATCAAGATGAAAGTGAGGTCTTAAAGGTATTACTCTTATTTCACCACAGAAACATGTCAAATAGGTGCTTGATTTAATTAGCGGCCAATCCTCAATCTCTTTTACCCAGGCGCAACGGCACTGGCACGTTCACTGCAACCTCCGCCTCCCAGGTTCAAGCGATTCTTCTGCCTCAGCCTCCCGAGTAGCTGGGATCACGGGCGCTTACCACAACACCAGGCTTTTTTTTCTTTTCCTTTTTTTTTTTTTTCTATTTTCTTTTTTAGTAGAGACGACGTTTCACCATGTTAGTCAGGATAGTATGGAATTCCTGACCTCCAATAATCCGTTTGCCTTAGCCTCCCAAAGTGCTGGGACTGCATGCGTGAGCCACCGCACCCACCCCTTGCATGTGGAGGCGGAGGCGGTGGCTGCAGTAAGCGGAGATCGCGTCATTGCACTACAGCCTAGGCAGAGTGAGACGCCATCTCAAAATAAAAAAAAGAAAGAAAGAAAAGAAGAAAAAAAGAAAGAAAAGAAAACACACTACACCGTAGGGGGGCAAGCAATGAAAGCTCAAAGACCACAGAATTTGAAGTTTTCTCCTAGCCATAAGGAATACACTGGATAAAGTGAGGCAGGTGAAAGCAAGCTTCAGTGTGTTGTGTAAGTTTCAGTCATTTACAAGTGTTTTTGTTGTCATTAAAAAGGTACAATTCTACTATTCGGTAATCAAATGGCCATATAATGTTTCCCTAGTTTGTTTTAGAGATTTATCCATCTCCCTTTTTATTTCAATAAGTAGCAAAGGGCACATTTATTTTTGCACTGTTGTGCACTAATTAGATTGAAAATATTTACACATTAAGATATTAAACACATTGATAATTTACAAAACTTTTATACCAAATTCAACACCTAAACAGTACTATTTTAATACATTTCACTCACGTTATATCAAAATTCTATATTCTCTTTATTTCAGCAGCAGAATTTCTGTCTGGAGATTTTGAGCAATGAAAATAAAATTCAAAGTGATATCCAATGCCATGTTACAATCAGCGACATCCACAGAATAGTGTATCACCTTGTAGCGGGGGCAAAATTTTATTTAGTTTCCATGATACGTGCCTTGCAGTTCCACCCATACTGTTCCAGCCTTACCGGTTTTCAGAAATAATTCTTTTGATGGTGCTTTCATTGCCAACGTATGGACGCTTTTCTTGGTTGGGCAACTACCTAAAGAAATTCACTCTTTCACACATTGTTAAAAGGATGTTTTCAGAGGGCAATGATTTATAGTAGGTTAGATAGATTCTCAAAGCTCTGCTTCTGAGATCGAAATTTGAACTTGTCATTTAATTACTACATGTCACTTATTTTTCTTTCTATGGCGCTCTCGGAAACATTGGGACACAGTCTTCAGGGGAATTGAAACCACGCATGGTGAGTGTACTAGTCATTCCTTAACTATTCAGTAATAATAGGGGCTGGGTTTCTCTAATAATGGGAGTAGATCTGTTTCAATCTACTCTTCTTATTTATTTTCCCTTATCATCAACGCTTGAATTTCAGCTCTAAAATGCTTTATTGCAGTTTGGTTATGAAGCATATGCCAAAAGCATTCAGCAAGGCTGCAGACAAATTCTTTAAAGTGCACCTCCACTTCCAGTGACTTTATGAACATCACATTTAAAAATTAATCCTTTTTCATCTCTGTACCCTTAGTATATTTTGGACTTCCCTTCGTTCCCAAATACCCCGAATTCAAGGTATCTTAATCCATGGAGCAGTTGTCCAGAGGAAGAGAGAAGCAACAGCCCCGCCCCCAACCCTTGGGAGCAGAAAGGGAAAGAATTATCCAAAGGAATTGCTTAAAAACTCAGGTGTATCGGACAGAAGTAAAACCATGGCTGCATAGAATGATGTCCCAGGGGTCCAAAACTTAATCCCAAATGAGCAATAATTTGTTTGGCATTAAACTAAATCAGTTTGATGAACTCAAATGCCCTCGGCTCAATAGGCAGGACTCTCCGAGGAGCCTGTGTTACTTCCCTCACTTAAGTGCAGATTTGTAATAAAAATCTTAATGCCAGTGGCATGCTTTTTGGACATATAAGAAGCTAACCACTTGGAGAATCATATTTGAGAGGTCAGAAAACTCCACAGTTAAAGATCTGTTTATAATTTACGAAGAAAATAGAAAGTTTTGTTTCTCTGAGTTGAAATTTGCCAAGCACGGTGGGAAATATTGCAAGTTTTTGGCACAAGGCTTTGTGCTTTCCTCATAATTTGAGATCTGCGTGAAGCCTGAGGCTTCGGGGATCACTATCTGAAAAAAATCGGGCAGTTCGGTGTAGACAATTTTTATATTTTTGGCTTTTTTTGAGGTGTAACAAACACAACTCGGGATCCGAGAGGACACTCTGCGGCTGCCAGCGAGGCGGGCTGGACAGCGCACCAATCACGGCGCAGCTCCGCCCTATATAAACGGGCGGGCGCAGCGCCGCGGCCCGAGTCCCGGCCAGTGCCTCTGCTTCCGGCTCGAATTGCTCTCCCTCACGCCTGCCTTCAACATGTCCGAGACTGCGCCTGCCGCGCCTGCTGCTCCGGCCCCTGCCGAGAAGACACCCGTCAAGAAGAAGGCCCGCAAGTCCGCAGGTGCGGCTAAGCGCAAAGCTTCTGGGCCCCCGGTGTCCGAGCTCATTACCAAGGCTGTCGCCGCCTCCAAGGAGCGCAGCGGCGTGTCTTTGGCCGCTCTCAAGAAAGCGCTGGCAGCAGCTGGTTATGACGTGGAGAAGAACAACAGCCGTATCAAGCTAGGTCTCAAGAGCCTGGTGAGCAAGGGCACCCTGGTGCAGACCAAGGGCACCGGCGCTTCGGGTTCCTTCAAACTCAACAAGAAGGCGGCCTCTGGGGAAGCCAAGCCTAAAGCTAGAAAGGCAGGGGCGGCTAAGGCCAAAAAGCCCACAGGAGCGGCCAAGAAGCCTAAGAAGGCGACGGGGGCAGCCACCCCTAAGAAGAGCGCCAAGAAGACCCCAAAGAAGGCGAAGAAGCCGGCTGCGGCTGCTGGAGCCAAAAAAGCGAAAAGCCCGAAAAAGGCAAAAGCAGCCAAGCCAAAAAAGGCGCCCAAGAGCCCAGCGAAGGCCAAAGCAGTGAAACCCAAGGCGGCTAAACCAAAGACCGCCAAGCCCAAGGCAGCCAAGCCAAAGAAGGCGGCAGCCAAGAAAAAGTAAGAAGTTACTTTGGCCAACTGCTTAGAAGCTCAACACAACCCAAAGGCTCTTTTCAGAGCCACCCACCCATCTCAGTAAAAGAGCTGTTGCACTCCTGGGGGGCGTGGCTGGGAGAAACGATGCCAAAGAGGGGCGGGTCTCTGGGGAAGGTAGCCGAGAGGGAGTAGCAACTCGGTATGCTAAGGTCTGGAGCGTTCTGTCGTCCAAGCTCTACTGTGGTGGCGTCAAAACGCTTTTATTGCGCTCTCGAGTTATGGAGCACAGCCCATCTCGGCATCCCTAGCAGGACCTGGCCGATACATAATAGCATGGGTGAAAACAGTTACCGTTTTTCGGGCTTAAGTGGGTCTCCAACGCTCCGAAAAAAAAACCGAATAGAACACGTAACACTCCCACAGATTACGCTCCCTGCAGAATCGTATGTCTCGATACAAAGGCTATTGTACGCCTAACCGCTGTATGTCATGCTTGGGGAGACCACTGCAACATAACTAGAGATTCGGAGCTGTCACTACAGAAAAGATTTGTTCCTTAATGTACTTGGATAAAGGGCTTGCTGCCAGGCTTCGGGGGACGTCCCAATTAGCAAGTATTCTGTATGCAACGACACCCACAATTTGTTACAGGGGTGAGGGAGAGAATGTTAGCTCTCCTAATCTGTTAAGTAGCTTCAATGTAAGCGCTGAAACCACAATGATACATTAAAAAAAATAAGGTCGGCTCTCCAAAACAACTGCTGTACGCGAAGCACACAGCTGTCTTGACTGGAGGTCTATTTATAGTAGCCTCGGGTAGTCTAGTATGGGCCTTCTGATTGGGTAAAAGTAAAGTAATAGAATAGCCAATGAAAACGTAGAACTTTAAGTATAATTTACATTGGCATTTGTGACGACACTTAAATTAATCCAATCATAAACGAAATCTGATTAACCTCATTTGAATACCGCATCTATAAATGAACGGGGCCTCAGTGGGAATGATTATTTTCTCAGGTGTCTGCAACAGTGTTGCAACTAACGCTACAATGCCTGAACCTACCAAGTCCGCTCCCGCCCCGAAGAAGGGCTCCAAGAAGGCGGTGACCAAGGCGCAGAAGAAGGACGGCAAGAAGCGCAAGCGCAGCCGCAAGGAGAGCTACTCCGTGTACGTGTACAAGGTGCTGAAGCAGGTCCACCCCGACACCGGCATCTCCTCCAAGGCCATGGGCATCATGAACTCCTTCGTCAACGACATCTTCGAGCGCATCGCGGGCGAGGCTTCCCGCCTGGCGCATTACAACAAGCGCTCGACCATCACCTCCAGGGAGATCCAGACGGCCGTGCGCCTGCTGCTGCCCGGGGAGCTGGCCAAGCACGCGGTGTCCGAGGGCACCAAGGCCGTCACCAAGTACACCAGCTCCAAGTAACTTTGCCAAGTAAGCGTCTTAACATCTAACCCCAAAGGCTCTTTTAAGAGCCACGCATGTTTTCAATAAATGAGTTGTAATCCTTTCATTTCAAAAGGGGGATTCTTGGGTTTTTCAGCACCATATTTCCAATGGCACTGCAGAGGAAATACAAATTATAGGGAATAAGGATAGCTACCAGAAATGGAGTGTTCACTGTGAACACTTAGTAGATCATTAGCTCATTACTGTCACACAACACTAGCATAAACTGACAGTATTGTAAATGTACAGCCCTTTCGTTTCCGTGTGGAGATTTCCAGGTTGATCATGTTGATCCAAGATTCGGTGTGGTGACGGACCGCCCTGAGCACAAAAGAGCACGCTCTGACAACTTCTGTTTGGAGCTTTCTCCCCGCCCCCCATTTTGCAAAATTTTTACCATGCAAATACGTAGTAACTGCAAGTAAAGGCTGAAGACAATGTGAGCTGAACACGGAACTATTAAAGAGTACTTGTTTGCTTGCTTTGCAGTTGGGGCAGTTTCTGTGTCAGCTTAGGCTAGCCGGGAGGGAAGGATGTATCCTAGGCGCTGAGGTGCATGGCCAGGGGAAAGGGGGGCGGGGAGGGAGAAGGGGGGCGGGGGAGGAGGGAGGCGGTGGCGGCGCGGCGCGGCGGTGGGAAGAGAGAGGTAGCTTCTGAAACACTTTAAAATTCTTTTGGTAACTATCTTTTTCAGAAAGCCATTTAATTTATAGTGTTCTTTCGGCAGCTGTTAGCTCAAAAGTCCTCTGGGTAACGGGAGAAACCAAATAGTCAATCATTAAACTGTCTGACTGCAGATACGCAAGTTACCGCACGGCTGAGGCCCCCTTTGCAGTACAATTTACCCTTTTTTTAGATGCCCCTGAGTACCGAGGACTGGAGGAGGTAGAAAGGGAAAGAAAACTCCCTTCTGGAAGGATGTAGCTTCTGCACAAGGTAGGATGATGACAAAAGGTTTTCAGTGCTTTGGGAATGGGTGATTGTGGGAGAAAATGGACCTCGGAAAAGAGACGGGAGGGAACTGGGAGGGAGTGGCCAGAAGGAAAGGAACAACACTTCTGACAAGAAAATTGTGAGATGGATGAGGCTAGGTTTGGAGTCAAGTGGTGGCTGAGATAGAGTGGTGGTGGGTGATCATTGTCTACAAGGGGAATGGATTGAGAATTTCTAATGACCTCGTTTCCTCCTAAACATGAAATCATGGATTATGGGATACGTTTTCCATAGTGTGGCAAGCTTGGTACCTGGATGGATAACTTAAAAGCCTGAATAATATTTTCCAAACTCTTAAAAACAACGAAGAGAGTCTAAGAAAGCAAAGAATTCAGGGACTTGGCCCATGTTAAACCCCAAGCACTACAGCTGGCTTTTACCCAAAGCTTAACTTTCATTTTTAGGGTGTTATATGGAAACTGATCATGGTGTAGAGCGTGAAAAGAAATCTTTTTAGTTGAATGTGAGACACTAGACCAAAATCTGTCACCTTGAGGTAGGAGGATGAACTGGAAATAAACAGACAAACCCATCACAGGTGAATGCTAATCAAAGCTCTGAAACTGGGTTCTGAGCAGCATAGATTCCACTACTAAGACTTGGACTACAAGTCCTTCTTGATGTTTACTTGTTCCTGGTATTCCTACCCTAGGGATTCAAACATACAAGCTGAAAATTTAATTTAGACATATTCCAGACTGGTTTTGTGCCCCTGAGCACCTAGTAGAAACAAACACAAGTCATCTATGGAAAACAACCTTCATTTTAAAGCTCAACAAATTGCTACAACTAAAATATCCCCCCAAAAAATGTACAAGCAGCTTCACAATGAAAATTAACCAAACACCTTGAAACTAGAAGCATGACCAATGAAAACAAGAGCAGCAGACAATGGAAGCTGGAGAGGGTGGCTCATGCCTGTAATCCCAGCACTTTTGGAGGCCAAGTCTGGAGGATTGCTTAAGACCAAAAGTTTGAGATCCTGTCTCTGGGGGGGGAAAAAAAAAAAAAAAAAAAGGCAACAGACACTGGAAATAAAAGTAAAAAGAGAGGATTAACAAGATACAGACTTGAAATGACTAACTTTAGTGTGAAAAAAGAGTCTTAAGGAAATACAAAAGTGACCACATAGATTTGAAAAAAGAACTTTTTAAACTTTATTTATTTATTTGAGACAGTGTCTTGCTGCATCACCCAGGCTGGAATGCAGTGATGTTATCATAGCTCACTACAGTGATGTTATCATAGCTCAAGGAATCCTGCCTCATACTCCCAAGTAGCTAGGACTACCCCTGTGAGCCACTTCATCTGGCACTATTCATGATAAGCAAGTCTGCCTTTGCATCATCAAAACAAAACAAAACAAAAAAGCCCTGGCCGGGCGCCGTGGCTCAAGCCTGTAATCCCAGCACTTTGGGAGGCCGAGGCGGGTGGATCACGAGGTCAAGAGATTGAGACCATCCTGGTCAACATGGTGAAACCCTGTCTCTACTAGAAATACAAAAAAAAATTAGTTGGGCATGGTGGCGCGTGCCTGTAATCCCAGCTCGGGAGGCTGAGGCAGGAGAATTGCCTGAACCCAGGAGGCGGAGGTTGCGGTGAGCCGAGATCGCGCCATTGCACTCCAGCCTGGGTAACAAGAGTGAAACGCCGTCTCAAAAAAAAAAAAAAAGCCCTTTAGCCTTGGGGCTTGAGGCAGGGAAAGGGATGGGGTAAGCAAAAGTCCAGGGAGGTGCTCAGTCCCAGGAACAGGGACAAAAAAAGGACAGGCCTGGAGTTATTCGGATGGGCCTTTGTACTGAGCAGTAATGTATACCCTGCTTGGGCCATCAGAGTACCCCTGGGCTGGAGCCTCCACATCCCCTTCCCCCTCGTCTCCATGATTCTTTACATCCTAGCTTCTTCTAAGGGGTGAGAGAAAGGGGGACATTTATATATATATAACATATATGTTATAAATAATATATTTAAATTTAATAATTTGTTTAAATACATTAAGTATAATATAAAGATTTTAATATATATAGAGATATATAATATATAGTTATCTATAACTATATATTATATAATATTTAAAATCCACATATTATATATATATGGCCACTAGGCTGCAACCCTGGTCCCTACACCTAACATCTTCCTGCTCCCCCTCCAGCCAACTACACAGCCCACAAAAAGACCCAGCAGGCCTACTGCTCAGCAGCATCCCATGGAAGGCTCTGGTGGTACCCTTGGGCCTCAGGAGAACCAGTACCTGGATTTTCCGGGGTTTATCATCACCATGTTCTCTCCCTGCTGTTCAAACCATGCCCTTCTGCCATCTTCTGGGAGAAGGAAATCAAAGGATCTAAAACTGGGGATTGGGGGAAGATTCCAGCCTCTCCTCACTCCCCTCTCCCTACAGACTTTACTCCCCAGCCCACAGAGATGCTGCTTATACCAGGAAAGACTATTGAAAGATGATTTTTATTTGATTTTCCTCTGAAGTTTTCATCCCTGGGAAAATGAAAAAAAAAAAAAAAATAGACAATTAAAAAACAAACAAAAAATCAGAAACCCCCCAACTAATCCACAGAAAGTGATGTCTTATCCTCTCCTCTTGGTTTTTTTGTTTTTGGAATTTTTTTTCTTTTTTAAGGTTGCTTTCTTGTGGAGTGGGAATCTGAAATACTCAAATGTCTATTTTCCTCAGTGGAGCCAAACCAAAAAACTCCAACCTTCCCTGGATGTGCCTGGTCTTGGACCCACTGGAATCTTTCTCTGGGTTGCTGCGCGTACACAGCCTCTGTCCTGGAGGCTAAAGTTGGAGGTAGCTTGGATCAGAACCCTGCCCAAGATTTCCCTACTGTTGCATTGTTTGAAGCTGACATCCTGTGTCTGTACGCAGCTGCCACTGTTGTGTCTTTGCTCTGCTTGCTATTGCCTCATGCCAGGCCCTGTCCTGCCATGACACCCTTGATCCTATCCATGAAATCCCAAGGCCAAGTTTGCTTCAAACTTTGCAGGAACAGACTTGATCTGCATCTGGAACATATTATTCTCAGCTTGAACATCTCCCCCTACCACAGACAGAAAAGGTGAACACCTAAAGCTGAGGCTTGGAAATGTTTCCTGTGTTGACCTGAAAGATCTTCTGAGACCTCAAGGACACTGCGTCTCTTAAAAAGCAGAGAAAGTTGCCATTTTCCTCCTAGAGTCTGGTGGAGTCTCCCCATCTGGCATCCCCATTCTGTAAACCATCTATCCCTGCCCACCAACTGATAACAAGGGATGAAAAGGAACTGGGGCTGTGGGGAACCCTGCCAGCTGGTGAAGCCCTGTGGCAGGAAAGTATATGTGGACATAGAGTATATCTGACTTCTTTTCTTCAGCCACTGATTGGGTTGGGCTGTGAATGATAGACAATGGAATGGCTGGAGTCTGTTGCCATCAGAAGCTAGGGAAGAAGATGAAGGACTGAATCACACAGACTGGGATATGTGTCGGGTGCAGTCATAACTGTGTTCACTCTTGGTGGGATGTAGGCAACTCTTGTTGGGATGTAGGCAACGACAGAGGAGTTTGTGGTCTTGTTAATCATTTACTGCAATGCCTTTGACCCTCCTTTTCCACTGGTTCCTCCACTGACTCCAAAGGCTGCCAGTAGGAGACAGTATCCCAGGCTAACAAGAGCTTACCTATTACCTTAGGGACCTCATTGATTTTAGCCTGTGCCCTTCCCCGCCGTTGCCACCCCAGTGATTGGTATGTGGGAAACTCATTTCAGTTCCTGTGACCCATGTCTTGAACCAGGCATAAGCATCTGGTCTTTGCGAGGACAGTGGAATCTGAGGCCTTTCCCTGCCCCGTCTGGTGCCTGCTCCACATTGTACCAGATATTGGACTCCTTGACGCCCTCCTCCTTCCCTTTATTCCTCTCTTCCTTCAGGTCATGCAGCCATGTACTATATCCAGCATCACAGAAACCTCAACGTTTTTCCTCTGCTGTGTCTGGGGCATAAAGAAGCCTTGGGGTATGGTGAAAGGCTGTTCTTACCAGGAGTACACTCACAGGCCAGGGGGCTGCCATCTTCTTCACAGATATTCCCAAAAGAGGAACCCCCTTGGGGCAGAAAGGTAAGGAGGATTTCATCTCAACATAGATTGGTGGTTGGCGCCAGCGGGGGAGGGGGGAGACACTTCTGTTTTGTTTTGTTTTTTTAAATGGCATTTCACTGTCATCCAGGCTAGAATGCAATGGTGTGATTTTGGCTCACTGTGACCTCTGTCTCCCAGGTTCATGCCATTCTTTTGCCTCAGCCTCCCCAAGTAGCTGAGACCTGAAACTACAGGCACGCGCCACCACGCCTGGCTAATTTTTGTATTTTTAGTAGAGACAGAGTTTCACCATCTTGGTCAGGCTGGTCTCAAACTCCTGACCTCAGGTGATCTTCCCACCTCAGCCTCCCAAAATGCTGGGATTACAGGCATGAGCCAATGTGCCCAGCCTCTTTTTCATTTCTTTTCTTTTTTTCTTTCTCTTTTCTTTCTATTCCTTTCTTTCTCTTTCTTTCTTCTTTCTTCCTTTCCTTCCTTTCTTTCTTTTCTCTCTCTCTTTCTTTCTTTTTGTATCATGATAGGAGTTAATGTTACAAAAAGTAGTTTACATCTTCAATTTCTGAAGGCACTTGAATTTAGGATCCATGTATCAGTGACAAGCCTGCCAGAAGTGGCAGGGGCCATCAGGGCTAAGCTACTTTATACCCACCATCCTCCCATGGGGATCCAAGACCTGAGACACAAAGCAACAGTCTGCCCCGATCCCTCTGTTCCTCATATCTCATTCAAGGTTCATCCATGTCCAACATTTGGACATCAAACATCATAAGGTCTGTATGCCTCAGTCCTGTTAAGGGGTAGGTTTCTCTTCCGCCCTGTCTTGCACCTGGAAAAAAATGCACTACCAGTTAGAGAAGGGCCATCCAGCCCTGCCCCAACCTGGACCCTTGGGGCACAGATAGAAGTGCTAAGCCCCTATTTCAAAGTTGTTAAACATTTTTGTTCTGTTTCATTAATCCCTTTCCTGGTGATTGATTTTACAAAAGTAAGTAAGCTGCTTATGAGAAGGCCCTGGAAGTGAGAAGAAGGACCAAGGAAGATGACTACAAAGGGTGAGGATTGTTTTTGTTAAAAAAAAAAAAAAAAAAAAAAAAAAGCCTGGGTGGAGTAATCTGAATCACCTGGCACCCGCCTGAATGGAATCCTCCCATGCTGAAGGGTCCTTGGAGTTCCCCAGCCCCCACCTTCTCCCCCTTAAGGCATGCTGATACTGAATGTTATAACTTTGAGCCGTTTCTCACTAGAGACAAAAACTTGTCATCTGGCCTTGCAGAGAAGGTTCCACCTTAATGCTCAAAGTACATTATCTTTACTATGGGCTAGGGTATGATACTTGAAGGAGCTTGTGTTAGAACAGTATTATTGAGAGTATCTGCTTTCCAGGCTTAAGTGATTCATTTATTATTCTAGTCCTGCTTTAGTCCATTGGTCATTATGCTTTTCTTTTTAATACATAAAAAGTATGTAAAAATTAAAATGTAATAAGGCAGAAAAAAAATTTGTGAACATAATTTTAAACCACTGTGTCTTTTTTTTTTATGTTTGAAATACTTGAATGCGAAAAATATTTGTGCTTTAAAGACTATATAGAAATCAAATATACAATCACCTGGCTCCGATACCTTTATAAATGGTAGAACCTTTAAGAATTTCGACAGTTCAGACTACAACGGACCACTATCCACAGAGACAAAGCCCGATAAAATCCCCTCATAATATCCTGATGGTCGTTTCCCTGATATTGTAAAGGATAAAGTAGTGTTTCTACAGTGTATATAAATCATTAGACCAGCACATAGCCAGTACTTTGCTAAAAATATGCACTGAAAAAAAAAAGAAAAATTAAAAAAAAATGCACTGAAAGTATTAATTCATCTGAGAAATCTTAAACTGCAGTCTGCAAACCAATTCTCTAGTGCATGATTGTTGTTAGAATGTTGAACAAACAGATTTGGCCTTTTAAAACAAAACAAGAAATTAAAGCAGAAAAATTAGTACTTATAATAAAAATTTTAAATCCTAGAAAATACTGTAGAGCATGAAAATATTTTTTAAAATGGAAAAAACAAATTGATGAAATTTAAATTGTACAAGAAGTTAAAGCTGTTAATTTATAAAACTTAAGATTAATGATTGATAGTTTAAAAAAAAAAAAAGTTCCACATATAAGATTAACAGATTGAGACTCAACAGAGAGAGGTATAAAGAAAAGAAACCAAATAGAAGAAATTAGTCATGAAGGATTTGTAAGGGAATTCATGAAGTGTGCAACATTACATAGGCGCTCTGGCTTGGGCACTGCAGATACATAGAGAGAAAAGGTGGTCCTTGACCTCCTGGAGCCATCAGTTAAGGAGACTTACAGCTAATTGTTTCATTTTCCTTTGTCTTTCACTAAGGCCTAAAAAAGTGTTTCTTATACTTTGGAAATATTCAAGAAAGTCAATTAACCTGGGCTCATACAGGAACTACCAAATTCATTGCATCAAGGCAAACATACTCTCTTTTTTTAGTAAGAAATAAAACATTTTGTTTTAAAAATAAAAATATTATTTAAAAATACAAATGAGAGTTTATAAATATTACAGCCAAGTTATAATTACTTTTTAGGAGACTGGGGAGAGCATGAGAAAAATGGTGAGAGAAATTGCAAAGGACTCAGAAAAGGAATGGAAGAAGACTGCTACAAAGGAAGGGAGAAAAAGAGCTTGGAGACCTGGCAGAAACTTAGAGCAGAATGTGGCAGAAAGGCAGAGAGAAAACAAAAAGGGGCCATGAGTACAGAGACCTTGTCACGCACTTGGTGTCTCAGTTGTGTGTAATGCCTGTCAAATAATAACTCAAATACTTCTTACACTTTGTGGGTTTTGGATTAAGTAGATTGATGAAAACGTCACCACATCTGAGAGGTTTCTCTGCCCAGCAAATGTAAAATGACATTATCCTCATTTTCAACTTGCTGTTTGCATTCCTCTTCACTATATTTAGCACTGACTAACTTAAATCTGTTTATTGTTGGCCTCCCCTTCTGATCCTGAAGACTGTAAGGTCCATAAAAACAGGGAGTTCACCTTTTTTGCTGCTGGTTTCCTAACACCTAAGGCTGTTCCAGGAACATGGTAGACTCTCAAAAAGTATTTGCAGCATGACATAATTTCTAAAGGAATGAAAGTGCACAAATATCTATAACCACAGGAAGAGAGGTCGCTAATGAGTTGTCACAAAACTGAAAGAGTGACTCAGATTTTCTGGGTCTCAATTCCCTCACTATACAAAGAGGATAATAATAGCAGATCACTTCTAAAAGTAATTTTAAGTCTTGAGATAGCTCATGTAAAGCTCTTAAAACAGTGATGGACCTTTAATAAGCACTTAGCACTATTTAACAGTTATCATATTTTCCTTTTCACCAAGTTGAAATAAAAATCAGAGTGTTCAAATCTTTTCAGGTCAAAAACAAAAGGGAGAGAATTTGAGCTTTTGAACAGTTGAATCCCACCCAAGAAGGATAGTTGGAGAATCTGAAACAAAGATCACATTAGTCAGTAATATTTCTTGACTAAGCATGACATATTAGATGTTAATGCTACTAAAGTGTAGCTACAACTGAAGCAGAGATTTCCAATAGTAGCACATGTAAAAAGAATCCTCTTTGTATAGAAAATACTGGTGATGGCAAAATGGCACCTAATAACTAAACCCTCCTTATTTCTTCAATCAGGGGAGAGATATGAAGGCAGAAGAGAAATTAATAACTGACAATACTAATCTATCAATAGAACTTATTGAAGTGTCGTCTACCTGAAAATGATTGTGTCTATATTCTACACAAATCCAACTTATCCTTGTTTGCTACACATTGGTTCATCAAACAATTACCGAGAAGAAACTAAACAAGTTTTCACTTCATGTTATTTTTTGAGGTTATAAAAATAGAATTTACTTCAGTTACAGGCCTAGTTACTGGGATTTCGTTATCAAGGACTACCTTTGCTAGGAAAAGTCTGAATGAGAAGATGGCAGTTAAGTTTGTAAAAAAAAAAAAAAAAAAAGTTATAATTAATAAATCTGCAAATTGTAATTCTGCATTCATTGTCGATCCAAATCTTTCTTCTAAGACCTCCTCTTTATAGACATCTACTTACCTACCTACCTACCTACCTACCCACCTATTTTCACTTTACTTTCCGGCATAAAGGTCTGAGTCGGTAAGGACTGAACACTAATTTGGTTTTGGTAATGAAGTTAAAAACAGGTTAGTTTCTGCTAAGCTGCCATTTGAAAGCGCTTCTCTAGCATCTGAATTATTAAGGTAAATATTTTGAAGCAATCACAAAACTTTTCTGACGCATTAGATCTGGAGTAAGACCTGATAATTTATACTTCTAAACTATCCAGGGGATGCTGATGTTGCTGGTCCGGAGACCACATTTGGAGAACTTTAAAGGACATGAAATTGCCCTAAAATGCTTATACTAAATGGCCACACAAAGCCGGAAGATCGCACAGCATTTCAAACCGAAGATGAGAGATCCTGAAAAATGGCAGCGGCCATCGTACTCCCGGTGCGGCTACGCGGGCACGAAAAGGAGTCTTAGGACGGGTAGTGCTGTCCACGCCGGCTCCCTAATGTCATCCCATCAACCCTCGCCCCCAACGACGGCCCCCTTATAGGCTCGCCCGGCCACGCCCCTCCGTGCCCCGACGACGGCCGCACGTTACGCCGCCTCTACGTCACGCCCATCCGGCGCCCTCATAGGGCGTCCTGTACGTTTTACGTCAGTGCGGCGCGCGCGACCGGAAGGTTGCTTCTGGGACGCCGACTGATGGTTTCCAGTCCCCGTCGACCCCGGCCCCTCTCTTCTGGAGCCACCAGACCGCCGGCCACTGGAGACTTGGAACAATCTGCTGAGTCCTTTACACTGTTAAAAACAGAGGACTGGCCGGGCGCAGTGGCTGACGCATGTAATCCCAGCGCTTTGGGAGGCCGAGGCGAGCAGATCACGAGGTCAGGAAATCGAGACCATCCTGCCTAACACGGTGAAAACCCGTCTCTACTAAAAATGCCAAAACCTAGCTGGGCGTGGTGGCGCGCGCCTGTAGTCCCAACGACTCCCAAGGCTGGAGAATCGCTTGAACCTGGGAGGCGGCCGTTGTGATGAGTCGAGATCGAGCCACTGCATTAGAGCCTGGGCAACAGAGCGAGACACTGTCTCAAAACAAACCAAAAATACTGAGCACCGAAAATTTTGAAGCCGGAGAAGCCAGGCAGCAGTCCTCCCTTGATCTTTTTTCCTCTCTCAAGGGTTTTTCAGGCGGCTCAAAGCAACGGGAAGAGTGAGGAAGCCGGAAGAAAATTGCAACCTCAGTCTGTCAGCATCCTCCTGCTTTCTTCTCCGGGAGCTGCCACTTCCCCTGTTCTCTCGTGCTGAAAATACGCTTCCCAACTCCAAGGGGACCTTTCTTGCACCTCCCTTATTGTTCTCACGCCTGTAGGACTCTTCGTGTGAGGATCAGGGTATGTGTGTATATGAATGTGTGTGAATAATTATGTCCTAATTGAACATATGTATATATATATTTTTAAACCATCTTCAGGTACACACAGGGCCGTCCTCCATTAAACATCAGACACAGTGCCTAGGGCTCACAGTACTTTTAGAGGCTTATGAAATATTTTAATTTCTTCTAAAGTCATAAGAAAAAAATGAACATTTAAGTCAAAAAGATGTTATATATTAATATTCCTGTGACTATTTTAATAAGAGTTCCGTGAAGACAGAAGCACCTAAGGTGCAAGAAAGACAACGCAGCCGTTGGTGCACGTAGCTGACAACTCTTAGGAGTTTTTATTTCTTTTTTTTTACACACACATTTCTAAGTGATTTGCAGATACTAATGTCAGCCTTAAGACATACATACCTGTGCACTGTTACCCACTTTTTTTTTTTTATTTTAATGTTTTGACACGGAATCTAGCTCTGCTGGCCAGGCTGGAGTGCAGTGGCTGGATCTCGGCCTACCGCAATCTGTCTCCAAGGTTCAAGCGATACTCTGCCTCAGCCCCTTGAGTAGCTGGGATTACAGGCGGACACCAGCACACCCAGCTATTTTTGTATTTTTAGTAGAGGTGGGGTTTCACCATGATGGTCAGGCTGGTCTCGAACTGACTTCGTGATCTGCCTGCCTCGGCCCTTCAAAGTGCTGGGATTATTGGAGCCACTGTGCATATCCTGGTATCCCACTTTTATCCATGAGTATATACCAAGTGAAGTTTAAAATAACTTGTCCATGCAAACCCCATGTAACTGGAAAAAAAATAAAAGAAAAAAAATAACTCGTCCAATGTCCTACATCTAACACATGGCAGAGAGTTTTCTGACCTAGGCAAGTTAGCTACAGAGTCCCTTCTTTATACTA